TTTGGGTTCTCTCGGCAAAATTAAATCCTAGTACAGGTTCACATCGTCAGAGCTCAGGTGCCTCCCTCTAGGGAGGTAACTGAGGGTCAAAATTTCCTGCGGTGATTGGTATCCGCTTTATAGTGTGCCGCACTAAAAAGAAATACCAGCTCCCTGGGAATAAACTAGGTCTGCAATGGTAAAACACCATTCGCAGTCCATTAGAAATAAAAAAAGTATCGGCAATAAAACATAAGGCTTATTAAATTACTTATCCAGTCTGTAAACTATTTTCCTTTCACAGCCACACTTATCACATTTCATGTTTGCGGAAACGAGCTGAAATCTTTATCAATTATTCGAAAGAAAAAAAAATCCGAGCTTTTTTAGAAAAAATTGACAAAAAGTGCGAATTCGGCAATCCTTTGATCCATAAAAATTTGAAAGTGCAACCCTCATATTTTTTTAGAAAAGATCTAGAGCAGGGGTGGGCAGACTTTTACATGGTACTGTCTACTTCTAATCTTTAGTCCACCTAGTGTCGTAGATGTGGTTAGCTTAAAAAATGTCAACAATGTGTTTAATGATAATAATAAATACAAAATATATACTTAACTACATTATTACAATAATAATTATATATATAAAAAAACCCTACGCTTTAAGGTGACTGCCTACCTCGAAAATATGTCGTTTTTCGTCTACATAAGGTATTTTTTTTTAATTTCAAAATCTTATAGTTTGAACAGTTTTCTTTCCAAAAAACAGTTTTTTTTTTCTTTACGCGAAATAGAAATAAAGTTATAGTGATTTTAAAAACATCACTCACTGCAAAAGGGACAGTAAGATAAAATTGTAAAGGAGTTTTTCTCAAAATTATGTTTTCGAAACAAACTCTTTACCAGATACATGATATCTTAAGAACTAAACCAAATAACAACGTTTTGAAATTTTGTGGGCATGTTTATTATACTATTTTTCATAAAGTGGACCATATAAGTTTTGTTGTAGGTTGAATATTTTTTCATTTAGGGTAATTTTTATAAAGTAAAATTAAAAAAATATCAAAATTTTATATTATTATGTATATGTCTGTAATGTTTTTGTATTTTAATATTTCTCTTAGATTTTGGTTCATTTTGAAGAGCACCATACTATGTATGTTGTGTATAAAGAAAAATTATGATAATTGTATTAGAAATTTTTATACAGTGTTACCCGTTTTAGTAAAAATTTGGTAAAATTTCCTTGAAAACAACCAATTTTTCTAAAAGTACACTATTTATTTAAAAATTTTATGTATTTACATATTTTTTTTTTCTTCCTAAAAACACTAAATTTGTTTCAAAAATTTGTTTTTATAAAAAAATTGGGTCCGAAGGTAGGCAGTCACCTTATACCACGTTTAAAGCAAAATGCAAGATATGAATATAATAATAATAGCTAAAAATATAATAATACCACAAGATACATTTACTATCAAACAATTCATTAAAAAATAAATCATTTTCATTTAAAGTTAGTTCTCGAAGTTATAGGTGGCCGTGGTAGCCTAGGGGTCAAGGTAACGGACTCGTGGCTGGCGTGTCATGAGTTCGAGCCTAGTACCGCTGAAGACCCGCCTATGCAGAGGGAAGATGCACTTTAAATATGTCAAGGCTCTAATGTCTTCCAGTTGATGAGGTGAGAAGTTAGGAGAGGGGTGATGCCAGCTCAGGTGTCATCCTCGTCACTTGACCATAGATCAAATTTACGAAGTCCGTTGCCAAAAGCCCTAGTGTATGTGAATAGTGCGACATAAAAAAATTCATTCACTCATACTCGTAGTTATAGTTAGAAGAAGACTTAATCTGCACACTGTCCGCAAATCTTTAATTTCTCGGTATATAATTTCTAATTGCTAATCTTGCACTGGATTAAGTGGTCGTCTATGAAACGGGAACGCGAAATGCTGGCTTAAACACATTCATAATTAAAAACGCAGATTCACACAGGTGAATCAGTCAAATCAATTGTGAAAAACCATTTCTCCAGTCAAACTTTTGTCGTTCCATTGATGTTCTTTTAGAACGCTCATATTAGATCTTAGTAAAGGTGGCCACACCCCAAAATGTCTTGGAAGACCACCGGTCGATCGCGATCGACTTAATGCTCACCCCGGATATAGAGGGGCTAACTAATAATATTTAAGATATCCATGTTCGAATAAACAACATGAGAAAACTGAAATCTAGACAACGTTAAGGTATCCGACTACGTTCGGAACCGTGATTTTAAAAAGGCGCATAAATGGATAATTTTAATGATATTTAGTGTCACTTAGATTAGAATACATGTATAAAATTGTTTTAAGGACATTTTGACAAAAACAGTTATTTAAATACAATATTTCGGTTAAAAATTAACTTAGAATAACCTTTTTTCAAAATGTTCTCCTTTCGTGAAAAATGCTTCTATTATAATAATATTTTGCCGGTATATAGCTCAAACCTCTGTACAGAGGCTTTACTATGATTTTTGAAACATTCTCCTTATTTTCAGAGTTCCAATCATTTGAAGTAATTATCGGCGTTTTTTCTTAAAAATTTCTCCCCTTTGTTGTCGTAAAACACGGATAAATATTTATATATTATTCTAGTTGAGCCTCTGTACTGAGGTCTGAGCTATATACAGGCAAAATATTATTATAATGGATACATTTTTCACAAAAGGAGAACATTTTGAAAAAAGGTTATTCTAAGTTAATTTTTAGCCGAAACACACACACACACATTGTACTTAAATAATTTTTTATTGTAATACTATACTTAAAACAGTTTTATATACATTTTTTAATCTAAGTGACACTAAATATCATAAATATTATCCATTTATACGCTTTTACAAAATCACGGTTCCGAACGTAGTCGGATACCTTAAGGTATCCGACTATAATCAGAACCATGATTTTGAAAATGGTATAAATGAATAATATATATATATATATAATTCGGACCAATATAACGAAATCGCTAAATCCCGGAAAAAAGTTTGTTATATAGAAAATTCGTTGTATAGAGGTTCATTTTTAATATACTTTATAAACCACATGAAACAATTTTTAAATTCATAAACTCTCTATTAAAAAAAGTAATTATTCACACCTTTTTGTAAATTAAAAATATTTATTTTATATATCTTGCCTGTCAAAACGAAAGAAAAAATCTGAAGGAAAGTTTCTTGACGCCTTTATCTATTTCCTGAAGAATTAATTTTTTTCTTGATGCTCAAACACTTACGTTTTGACATTTTCAAGCAACAATAAATGATTTTACCAGCAAGACTGATCAACACTACAAACGAGCGGAGACTTGTTCAAGGGCACGGGGACACGAGACAACTCTACTGAGGGTGAAGGAGTATGTCGAGGATGTTTCTAATGAACTGGACGATGAGGATTAAATGTTGCACTTCTTGGATGGATACGCCCAGATTTCTATTTCTCTCGGCAAAAATGAATTAAAAGAAATAATAACTTGAAATGCCCAGAGAAATACTGAAAAAAAAGGAGAAAAAAAAATTGAATCACAAGAGAAAAAGTTCGTTATATAGAAAATACACCTCGCTATTGGTAGGTTATTTTACGAAGAAAAATCGTGAAATGTTCTTGGTTCCAGGAAAAAGTTCGCTATGTAGAATTATTCACAATATAGAGGTTCGGCTTTTATAAATTTAACTTTGATACCTTCAGTGGTAGAAATAAAATAGTGTGACATCTGAAGTAATTTATTCAAATTAAAAATGTCTCATTAAAATATAAAAACACATTTTTTTTCCCTCTGAGAGGGAAGAACCAGCGAGATGGTTATCTTCGTAACAAAACAAAGAATAATACCGCTTTCAGTTCAAAACTAAGGAAACATTGTTGCATTTACTTCTTATCTTGGAATCATGCTGAAAACAAAACTGTTGAGTTAGATGTATGACTGTTTTAAACTGCTATATTTTCGACACGTGATTACATGTAGCCGGGAAGCCGCATCATTCATGATCGGCCCGACTTTCACCGTACAACTCTTAGAATTACTTGTATTTTATGAACCTATCTATTTTATTATAAAATCATCACTAATTCATTTTAACTTTCCTAATATTGGAAATGGGCTATAAATATTTTACTTTATATTAAACTTTTCGCAGACCCCAAACGTTGCCCAGAGCCCCTAAAATTAATTTTAATCAGTCTCAAAGGCTCTTAAAGGTCCGTAGGAACTACTTTGGGATCATATGAAAAAAAGTTTTATTCTACTGCGATGAGAATAGGGGAAGCATTTCCTGGTCTTTATTATTATTTTGAGGATGATAGTTCAATTAGAATAAATTGACAAGTTGAAGAATTTGAAAGAACTTGTTCTTAAGAATTTTTGGTTCTTCGTTACCAAAACTGTGTTTTTCTTTTGTTGTCTTTAAGGTATCCGACTACGTTCGGAACCATGGTTTAAAAAAAAAGTGTGTGTGTGTGTACTTATGTACGCACGTAAGAAATTATACTTCCTTTGACGTAACAAGATTAAAATCTTTCTAAAAATCTTTTGCAAGGCAAGCTGGGCCAAGGACGAAAGGCGGTCACGAGCAGAGTTGAACGTTACTAACCTTCAGTCAATCGGACCAGTTACATGAGATAATCACGATTTAAATAAATTAAAACACCCCCGCACAGGGACAATAGGACCAATAATATGGGGAAGGGGGTATGATCTGTCCCGTTCTGCATATTTCTTGACAAAGCATTTTCGTATCCGTTCCTACGGAACGCCAAGCAAAGGTTCGCTGTCGCGGGGGTATAGCTCAGTGGTAGAGCATTCGACTGCTGATCGAGAGGTCCCCGGTTCAAACCCGATGCTCCCTTCTTCAGGGAAGTGAAGAGAAATATTTTTTTGAGAATTCGAAGGCAGGAATGATCTGTCCCGTTCTGCATATTTCTAATCAAAGATTTTTTGTATACGTTCCTACGGAACACAAAGCAAAAAGGGTTTGTGACTCAGGGTATAGCTCAGTGGTAGAGCATTCGGCTGCAGATCGAGGGTCTCCGGTTCAAACCGGGTGTTCCTTTCTTCAGGAAGTGAAGAGAAATATTTTTCTGAGAATTTCGAAGGCGGGAATGATTTGTCCCTTTATGTATATTTCAGACAAAGGAATTTCGCGTCCGTAACGGTGTGCGCGTGCATTGTAAAAATTTACTCTCATCCTATTTCTCTAACGCCCCAAACGAAGTATAACTTCAAGAAACGTATAAATGGATAATTTTTTCGTGATATTTAGATTAGTATTTTTGGATTAGAATACATTTATAAATTATTCTAAGAATATTATGAGAATAAAAAGTTATTTTTGAATGCAATAATTTGGCAAAAAAATGAACTTAGAATTACATATTTTCAAAACATTCTCCTTTTATGAAAAATGCTTCAATAATAATAATTCTTTGATTATATAAAAAAAGAAAAGGGTTTCCCCTTGGGCCCCTTAGTTAAGTTGATTTGGGAGTTTGGGTTTTATGGCGCAAGAGCTATTTGGCTATACTCCCCCAAAACTTTTATAGGTCTGTGATCGGGACGGGAAAAGAAAAAAAAGGGAAAAATTGGATAAACAAGATGGGGGGTCGAAAATAGAAAGGATCCCTGGGGCCCCGGGGTCGTGAAAACTTTTTTCCCAAAACCCCCGGGAAAAGGAAAGATCACTAGGGTACCTCGGGACCATTGGGCTTAAACCCAAGAGTTTTCAAAGTTCACTTTTTTCGGGAGTTATTTCCCCAAAAATAATTTTGGTGTTTCCAAAAAAATTTTCTCCTTTCTTTTGGGAAAGGGAAAATATGGATAAATCTACTTCTTAAGTTATATTTTTCCCAGAAACCCCTGGTTCAGGCTCGTACAGGGGTCTGAGCTATATGTAAAAAAAATATTATTATAGAAGCATTTTCCATCAAAGGAGAATATTTTGAAAATAGGTTCCTTTTTTGCCAAAATATTGCACCTAAATATTTTGTTTACTGTAATAATATTCTTAATACAATTTTATACATATATTCTAATCCAAGCGACACTAAACATCATAAAAATTATCCATTTATACGCTTTTCCAAAATAACGGTTCCGAACGTAGTCTATCCCCAATGTTTTTTTATGTTTTTTTAAGATATATTAAAAAAAATAAATTACCGTAAAGGTTTTTGGGTTTTTTGGAAAAAAATGAGACCGGGGGAAGAGATTTTAGGAAAGGATAACGATGTAAGCACTTCAACCAGGAAGTTTTCATCTTGATAAAATTGTGCTTGCAAATAAATGTAGTAAATATGTAATAACACTTGTTTTTTATACGTCAGTAAGTACGTGCATGTTCTACACCAGGGATGTCCAACCCAAATGACCTTGTGGGCCACTTCGGGAAAACATTATAATCTCGCGGGCTGCACATAAAAATATGTACCTTTATATCAGATTTGGAAACAAAGAAAAAAACATTTTTTGGGAAAATAAAAATAAAAAAAGAATAAAAAATATTATTTTGTTTTTTTAAAATTTTTCTACCCCAAGTTTTTTGATAAAAATTTTTTATATAATATAATATTAATGCAATGACCCCAATAATTTTAAAATATTACAGTTATTTTCCAAAAAATTACGGTGTTTTTTGAATTGATCTCTCGTTACTCATTTTTTGAAATTTTTGATAATTTGTTATATTCGCAAACGATTAAGTGCTTTGTTTCTTAATTTTAAACCCGTCCTGTTTTTTTTTAACTTTAAAAACTTTTTGATTTGTCTCTTTTTTGGGCACCCCAAACAGAAAAAAAGGAGGGAGGAAAACAAAAAGTCGAAAACCCCAAAAACCATGTCCCCTCCATAGAAAAAAGGATATGCATAATATACACAATTAAATTTTTTTTAAAAAGTAATTTACTATAAGTAAAATCAAATGTAACTGTTTGATAAAATATAAATCTTTTTTTAATCAAAAGGGCATTTCTTTTAAAAAAATTTTATTTAAAACAAAAACGGCAACAGGAAAAATACATTGTAGATATATATAGATATATAAAAATTTTCCCCTCAAAAAAATTTCAAAAAAAAAAAAATTTTAAAAAAATCTGAAAATTTAAAATTTTTTTTTAAAAAAAGTGGGGGGGGCCGCAATTTTTACGTCTTGGGGAATTACCTGCGGCCTGGGCCGCGTTTTGGGAACCCCCCTGTTCTACACAAAATTTAATAGTTTTTTTTTTATCGGGCACAATTTTTATGCAATAGATAAGGGGTGGCCCTTTTTTCCCTCGGGGGGGCTATTTTTGCAAAAAAGCGAAGGTTACCAAAAGGGTCCCCACCTTTTTTAAAAATACGGTTAAATTTTTCTTATAACGAACCCTATATTGCAAATTTTTTAAATAAGGAATTTTTTCCAAAAATTTGAAAATTTCACGTTTTTCCCGTAAAATAACTTCCCATAGCGAAGTGCTTTTTCCCTATAGAAGGGGAACTTTTTTTTGTGTTTAAATTTTTTGCTTTTTTTAAAGGGTTTTTCCCGAAAAAATTTCAAGTTATTCTCCATTTAACACTTTTTAGGTCGTCATAAATCTTGAACTGGTTTTACTGGGATCCTAATCACTGAAGGCGATCGAGTTCTGGACTTTCACCCAAAGAAGTGAAACCCCCCAACCCCCTTTTTCCCATTTTTACTAGAAACATCTGAAATCCTCTTTTTCCCCTCGGGGAGTTTCCGGGGTTTTTAAATTTTATAAAAAAATGTTGAATTATTGCTCCCCTTTTTTTAAAAATCATAAAATGCCCTTAAAATTCGAAATTTTAGTATAAAATTATTTTCTTAATATTAAAAAATAAATTAAATTTTTTTTCGACATTCTTTTCTTTGTTTTTTCCCTTGGAAAATTTTTCTTTCTTTCTTTCTTTTTTTGATGGGTAAAATATATATAAAAAAAAGACATTAAATTTTAAAAAGGAATAATTACTTTTTTTAAAATATGGGGGTTTATGAGAAAAAATTTGTTTTATGGGGTTTTTTAAAGTATATTAAAAAAAAATAAAACCCCCTCTCTTAAAAAAATTTTCCATATAACGGGAACCTTTTTTTGGGGGTTGGGGATTCTTCCCCGTAAGGCCCCCCCCGTAATTTTCCCTTCTTTAAATTCTTTTTCATCGCAAAAAAGACCCCTCAGGGGCTCACTTTCTTTTGGTGGGTATGGGTGTCACCCCAATCCTGAGGTACCCCAGTGATCTTTTTCCTTTTTTCCAAAGGGTTTTCTATCTTTGGTAAACACGGGTTCACACCCCGGGGGGACCCCCAGTGATCCTTTTCTATTTTTTGGCCCCCCATCCCTTTTCATCCATTTCCCCCTTTTTTTTCTTTTTCCCCCTCCCGACCCACAGACCTATGAATGTTTGGCGCAGTATTATTAAAAAAATGGCTTTTCCCCCATAAAAACAAAACTCAACTCAACTCGCAAAAAATGTATAAATTGCATCACAAAATAAATCTATATAAGTTAAATAAAACAGGGTTCTATTCAATTTATTATTTCATATCTCTTGCTGTAAGCTCATTTTTAAAATTTTTTGAAACATTTTAAAGGGGACAAATGTACCCTATACACTTTTCTAAAATATATATTTTTTTTTAAAACAAGAAATAATTTCTTGTTGAAATTTTTTACTTCCCGAAGTTAATTTAGTCCCAAACCCCATCTATATTGACTCTTGTAAATCTTCATGCAAGAAAAACTTTGCTCACAAATATATGTTGACTAAATATATATAGAAAGCATTTTCTGTTTACTTGACTTTTGTTTAAAGCCGCAAGAAAAATCCCTTTTTGGGGGGCCCATTCGCTTTTTATCATTTAAAAAAATTCTGTGTTACTGATATTATTTTAGTGTGATTTAACTACATATTTTAAAAATTCCATTAGGTACTCAAGAAGGAGTTGAAAACAGAACTTTTTCGAAATGTTCGATGCCATCGAAGGATACCTCGGACCACCCGGTAAAATTATTTAAGATGTTTTTATCTATTTTTTTTAAATATTTATATATATTATATACATGTAAAAAAAAAAATTAAAATTAATTTTAGTAATAATAATAAATATGGAAACAGATGGAGTGCTTACGTATTATACCTTCGACTTTTGGGAAATTTCAATATCGGACCCAAAAATTCAATACCGGTATTCGGTATTTTTTATCTTAATATCCGACTACGTTCGGAAGGTTTTTTTTTACGTGCGATAAATGGTAATATTTTTTCAAATTTTGGGCACTTAAAATTAAAAGGTTTTTTTTAAAATGTAAACATTTATTTTTTACAATATTTTCGGCTTTTTCTTAGAATAAACTTTTTTTTTAAAAAAGTTTCTTTTTTTTTTTGGGGAAAAAAGGTTTAAAATAATATTTTTTTGGTTTTTGCTCAGGCCCCTGCCCGAGGCCCCGAATTTTTTTTAAATATATAACTTAGGGTGGGGTTTTTCCGTGTTTTTTCGACAACAGAAGGGAGAAATTTTAAGAAAAAAAACCTATAATTATTTCAACTGGGTTATAACTCCGAAAAAAAAAGGTGAATTTTTTAAAAAAACATAGTGGAGCCTTTTTTAAGGGGGCCCGAGCCAATTTTACAGGCAAAATATTATTAAAATAGAAGCATTTTTTTTTTGAAAAGGGGAACATTTTGAAAAAAATTTATTCTGGGGTTTAAATTTTTTTCCAAAAAAATTGTATTTTTAAAAAACTTTTTTTTTGCCAAAATATCCTTAAAACAATTTTATATATGTGTCCTGATCTAAGTGACAAATATTATGAAAATTATCCATTTATGCGCCTTTTTAAAATCACGGTTCTGAACGTAGTCGGATACCTTAATACTGAGAGATACCGGTTTTAATATCGGTAGTAGATGTTTTAGGAAAAGAAAGAAAATATAGGTGTTTCTTTGTTTTATTTGCCAGTTTTATTAGAGAGTGTAAATATCACAAAAAATTAATTTGTAATTTTAAAATTATAACAGTATATAAAGAACCACAAAAAAGTGAAGGAACACCTTATTTATTTAAATCAC